ACCATGTTGGTCAGGTTGATCTTGAACTCCTGACCTCAGGTGAGCCACCCGCCTCGGCCTCCCAAAGTGCTGGGATTACAGGCGTGAGACACGGTGCCTGGCCACCAGCCTTCTGAGATTCCTAAATATATCTTTCCTACTATCTATTGGGAGTGCCTGTGTGTGAAAATGTTACTTATATTTTTACAAAACAGTTAAATGCATCCCTTCTCAGTCTGGTCTCAATCCTTTTTCATTATTTTATAAACAAAAGTAAGTTGCAGGCCAGGTGCTGTGGCTCACGCCTGTAATCCCAACACTTTGGAGCGCCAAGGAAGGTGGATCACTTGAGGTCAGGCGTTCAAGACCAGCCTGACCAACATGGTGAAACCCCATCTCTACTAAAAACACAAAAATTAGCCGGGTGTGGTGGCGTGTTCCTGTAGTCCCAACTACTCAGGAGGCTGAGGCAGGAGAATTGCTTGAACCTGGGTGATGGAGGTTGCAGTGAGCTGAGATTGTGCCATTGCACTCCAGTCTGGGCAACAGAGAAAGACTCTGTCTCCCCCCAACCCCCTCCCCTCAAAAAAGTAAGTTGATTTGGCTGTTTGGCTCTTTACATTGCATTGTAAAATACAAAGATTACTGTATTTTATACTTCATAGGTGGGTCATGAAAAATAAGTATGAGTGTCTACCTACCTCCACTGTTTCATGGTCCAACATGGGTGCATTACAGAGTACTAATGCCAAATTCATAAATGGAAAGAAAACCTAACAGTACTACTATATGGGCACCAGTACCTTAAAAAAATAGAAGGTTCTGAAACAGGAATACTTTACAGTGTTTCTGTTTTACAAAACAACCTTTATATAGATAATGTAATGAGATTAATTTTTTGACACTTGAGGAAGGTATGTTGTAGAAAAAAAATGAAATCTGAAGGAGAAGCAAAAATCTTAAGTAGATGAAATGTGGAAACAACAACAAAAACAAAGAAACATCTGTTATGTTTACTGAAAAAAATTGCTTTGAATTAAGTTATGATTATTTTTGGAGAATTAGATGTTTGCCTAAGAAATAGTATTCTTTCTAGGTTGAGTGATAAGGTCTTCAACTGTTCTTGAATGAAAGAAGGAAAAAAAACCCTATTTATTTAAGCCAAAAATACTAGATGCTTGAAATAATATGCAATATACACTGATATATTAAATAGTCTATAATAATTTTCATTAGGTCATATACCATAAAGCAATCTGTAACAGAGACCTCTGATTGACGTGCCTGACATTAGAAAATTTACCTTGTAAGGTCTGTATTGAATATTAGTTTTTTTTGTTAATCTTAAAATATTAGTACATATGCTCTGTATGGTGAGAAGTCTATAACCACAACCTGCAAACTTCCAGGTAAATTTCATATGCTTAAGTTCTTTTTCCAAATCCTAATTTTCATATTTTTTTGGGTAACTCAATACCCTGAAACTTAATCCATTAAATAAAATTGAAACTATATAAATATAAAGATATAAAGTTTTTTTAAAATTCCGTATTGCCTATTGTAAAAGTAGCATCATTAATGAAACATAGTGTTTCTATTATTCCTGAATTCAAGTGGTCTAAGAAACACATAGAGCCAACTGTTAATATTTAGAAAAATTTTAATAGATACAGCACTTGACACCCTGGGAGGTAGCTGGCTCACTGTTAGGTCCTGACCATTGTCCTTGGCACAACGGAGGAGTGACTGCTGAGGACCACAGGAAGGGCAGGGAAGGGAAGATAATGATTCTAGCCTTTTCTGAATTCTACAAAAGTTTGTCCCCTGTATTATTACAAATTGTATGTTTTCATCTTAGATCTGCCATTCTTTTCCGCATTTCACAAGTTGTTGTTGTTGTTGTTTTGATGGGCCTCAAAATCCAGATCAAGAGAATCATCAGTTCTGCTACAATGCTTGCTGGAACTGTTTCAACATGATTTGTATGTTAAAGGAACAATTTGAGCATAATACGACTTTGCACTTGCTTATGCATGATTTTATCTGTGAGAGACGCTAGATGGATGCAAAAAACTGCACCTGACAAAACCTAGCCACACAGGAATACACAAAATGTATATCTGCACACACCTCAAACATGTAGCAGCTACTTCAGTTCATTGCCTGTTTTATGAAACACACTTATCCACATCTGGTGATACAACTTTTTTTTATTTTCTTTTTTTTTTTTTGAGACAAAGTTTTGCTCTGTTGCCCAGGCTGCAGTGAAGTGGCACAATCTCAGATCACTGCAACCTACGCCTCCTGGGTTCAAGCGATCCTCCTGCCTCAGCCTCCTAAGTTAGCTGGGATTACAAGCATGTGCCACCATGCCTGGCTATTTTTTTCCATTTTTAGTAGAGATGGGGTTTTGCCATGTTTGCCAGGCTTGTCTTGAACTCCTGGCCTCAAGTGATCCGTCAGCCTTGGCTTCCTAAAGTGCTGGGATTACAGGTGTGAGCCACCGCGCCGGGCCTACAGCTTTCAACTCAATTTCAGATAACCTTCCCCCCAAAACTTCCCAAAAAT